GAGAGAGAGAGTGAAGTGAGAAAGAGAGAATGAAGATAGAGAGAGAGAGAGAGAGAAAGAGAAAGATAGAAAGAGAATGAAGATAGAGAGAGAAAGAGAAAGATAGAAAGAGAAAAAAGTAAAAGAAAGAAAGAAAGAAAGAAAAAAAGATAGAAAGAAAGAAAGAAAGATAGAAAGAAAGAAAGACAAAAAGAACGGATCGCGAAAATGATTTCCTTGGTGGCTTTCTGAACCCCCTTTCCCTGTGAGCTATGCCCTATCCTCGGGGAAACAAATCCTTCATCCCTCCACCCCGAGCCTCTGACAGAACAGAAATGGCCGGAATCAATCTGAATGTCCTGGCCATTGACAGCTCACCCACACGATGAAATTGGGCGAGGAGGTCTAGAAATTATTGATATTACTGCACTAAAAAAGCGTTCGGAAACATTAAATTGAAGGCAATGTTCATGAAGAGTCTTAGAACGGAGGCCAAACCACATTTAAAGAATAGACCGTTTTATTATTTTTTAAAAGATAGTAATTCTAAAGGGGATCAGGGGAAATAGGGATCAAGGAAACAATAATACACAGTCGAATCTCACAATGTCATGTGATTATTGTGAAGAAAAACATGACATGTTACGTTACGCCATCTTCCGGTAATCTTGAAGTTATCATTTTTAAAAATTCAAGTTTGAAATGTAGTTCTCAGAAGGTAAGATGAACGAATAAAATTAGTTCCGTTTCAGTTTGAATAAGGAGATGCATATCGACAAATATAACCGTAATTAGAGGCAAAGAAAAGCAAGTTATGCAGACAGAAACAACAGAGGCAAAAGGGGGGGGGGGGAGAAAATTACAAGACCGACAGCTGGTGTCATCCTCTAACCACCCGCTTAATAGAATTATGGCAACAGAAACATGTAAAAAGTGTAGACCATACCTGAGGCTCTTCCAAAGCCATCCTTCAACCGTGTCTAAACGTATTAGCCGCTGAAACAGAACGTATGAACAGAGATCTCTGCGACAGGAAATTAGTGACAAGAACCACGATCAAAGAATGAACACAGTATAATCAGTGA